GTGTCTAAGGAGTGTTGGCGACAATTGCTTTATAGCCCTCTTATCAGCTCCTATGAATTGTTATCAGTTTCTACACCAACCGTCTGTATCGCTGCCCACCCCCTATAAAGTGTGTGAGAAGCAATGCTCCACGTTGCCACGGCTTTCCTACGAATTTCCGGACACACACACGGACACACACCAACAAACACACTTGGCCGGATGGGATGGGATACTCATTCTATAGTTGTTGTTAAATGGCTAGTTAACACGCTTGCAAACGGTGAGGTCCAGTAAAGCCAAATCAGAATCTGGCAACCAACTAAAACTCTGTGCTCTCAATAGATGGAAGATCAGCGATGAAACGTTCACATACAACATCTGCTTAGCATTTCAATGCTGGACTGATCAAAAAGCTCCTAGAATTCATTTATCCAGCCACTACTCGATGGTTGAGCGCTACTTTGTTGAAGCAAAACCTGAAAGTTTTTGTCGCCGATACAAATTCGTCGCAAATTGATGGATTCAGATCAAGTCACAACTAGATACGCCAGAAAAAAGTTTTTGGAGCAATGTTCTCATTCTATTTGCTTGGTCACCTTACTTCGCAAGCATATACATAGTTCTGCACAAAGCATAACGAAAGGAAAGCGAAACATAGATGCGAGTAACGCATAAGAAGCGCTTTCGCATGATCTGTGAAGCAATATGAAAACGTGGCGTTCCTGAGAAAAACACTGCTTTATAAAAAAAAACACCGCCGTACTGCTGTCACATAGAAACGAGGAATCAGAACAATGAAGGATACGACATGTTGAAGCGTTTAATTGTGGAATTTTAAGAATTCGTGCCCGAGTAAGCAATACATCAGTGAGTGATTTTTGTTGGCTCCACATAGACCTTGAGTTAGTTTCCGGTTTGGCTACATCTCGTCTAACGACAAAACTTCTCAATATGCAAGCCGGTAGTTTCAGTCAGTTCGCATCAAGGATGAAATGGGTGCAATGTGCTTTGTGAAGCAGACCATTCTCTTGGTATGGTAAAAATGGTAAAAAAAAAGGTAAATGGTAAAAAAGGTGAATGGCAAAAAATTGAAAGTTGCACATAAATCTAATTGAAAGCACGGGATCCAAGTGGAAGCACGAGAGAACAAGTTCCCGTTCGGAAAAAGCGGCACTACATATCGGACTCAATCAATTTTCTGTTCAAGAAAGTGTAACTCACTGTACTATAGCGATGGCACTGGGTGCCTTATTCACGCCATCTATTGTGAAGAATGGGATGTTTTGTTGTTGCGCTGTGTGGATAGGGAAGTCTTTGATATGATTATCGACGCGAACCGTCAAGCACGGCTGAAATAACTTTTCGACTCCAATCACATCAATCACATTTGTGTAAAAAACGGAAAAGTGAGCCATATGTCAATATTAGTGGGATGAGTTGGATCTGCTGCGCATTCGCAAATCTATAATTGCGTAGCGCAAGCGAAATATCGGCTCATAGCGTCGGCGTTGTAAGTCCTTGCGTCATCCAAAACCTGCATCCATATCAAAATATCGAGACTTCTGCGAATGTTTCTCATTGGGGTGTGCAGACTGTGCATTAAGATTGTGCTCGTTGCTGTTCTTCTTCTAGTCTGACTTCACACTCAATACGTCTAACAACATGTGAGGCGCTTTTGGTATCTTTACCACTGACCATGACAGGACTGCACTGCAGGGTGGCCACAAATTACGATAACAAGCGTGTACCGCATCTAATTTCGAAATCAAACGGCTGCAATTTCAATGTAGCTTTTGCCTATGTGGTCGTATTGATACGATGATTACTCTTTAATTTCACCACTTATGAAACGAGTTTGTATTGTTTAAGCCTTTAGCTCCTTCATGAAATAACGACTCGCCTTGCCTTCGTTAAGGTGTTCGGTGGTATCACGTTGCAAAGCGAACCAGAGGATTCAGGAAGGCTGCAACAACCACCATAGCGAGGATCAGTCTACTATGTGCTAGGGACGATGTGGAATAGAGTATCAGTTGTTTACAAGAACAGTATTGTACGCGCAAAACTGCAATGAGCTCTAGCACATTCAGCCTGTTTTTGTCTTCCAGGTTTGCAATCAGTTGCTTTTCTTGGCAATAATCGTTAGAAGACATCACGTGGCGAAGGCACGTGAGCGTAAAAGAGATTAGTTCTCTAGAAGGCGAGTAAACAGAAAAGAAATTGGAGCTGAACGAAGTGTTGTCTCAGTTCTGTATTGCTGATCTTTTTCTACTGATGATGAAGTATTCGCAATCGAGTTAGTCTTCAATTGGTAGAGCGACAAAACTGCACTTCTAAAAAGTCAAAGCTTAATATCTCAGACATCGAATCCGGAAACAGTGAAGGTTTTTCATGGTGATCACACCAAAAATCATGACAACTTTGCCTTCTGTTTCACATGGCACAAAATTAAAGAGTTAGGACTATCTTGAGCTTTCGTACTCATTATTCCTTGAATCAAGGGAATTCTTAGAAGAATTCGTAAAATTGTTGGATATATCTGCAGAATCCTGCACATGCCAATTTGCGCAAAGTTCTCGCCATCTGAGCTGCCCACAGATATTTGGAAAGTGGCCACATAGATCTCTCACTGAAATTTACCGATTTTACGCTGAACGAAGTGTGACGAAGACGAGCACCTGCTGGTGACATTATGGAGACGTCAGTTGATTCAAGAAAAACTTAATAATGCCTAGAATGCACTCCAAGCCGTTTATCAACATGCCGAGTCGGCTCATTACCTGAAAAGTTCGCTCCTTTTCCAAAACAGATAGTGGCTATTTGAAAGGTTTATGTGGTTTTTCGTTTATAACCCGTCAATAAATGTATTTTTGTTTTCCACTTGTCTTTTTTTAGTTTTTTTTTCGGATTTTCCATGGTTAGTCAATCTCTTTACCTTAATTTGTGGCCACCCTGTACATTAGCATTAGATGCAAAATGGCAGTCACAGACATGACGATATCAATATTTCCCAACGTTGTGATTATGGTAGCATTCTTGCTGGGCGCGCTTGGCCATCCTAGAAAACGTCGGAGTCGTGCGTAGAGCTGAAAGAAATGGTAGGAGAAACAACCGCTGATCAACAGAAACCTATTAGGTGACTGAGCCTTCATTGTTGCGACACTGTGATCGGGAGAAACTTTCCTTCACTACAGTACATAAGATATCCACTCTGTACAAATGCATTTTCTCCACATGGTGCCACATGTCGCGCCGTTTGCTGCATTCCTTCCACGTCAGTTTTACTGCGGAATGATGCTGCGAATATCTTCTCATTGGTCTTCTCGCCTATCGAGTACCTTTTTCCGAGGACATCGATAGCTCCTTTTGGGGGAAGTGCCTTCAAACCCAATATGATCCTAATATATCTTGCTCGCTCGATCAATGTCTGACACCGGCCTTACAACATTCGCTGGCCTCACTTCCACTTGTGCAGGGGATGCCTATGCACAGAGGACGTCTTTCTTGAAGAGCCCCATCGGATATGATATCATTTAAGAAAGGAAACTCAACACTCACATGTCCCTGAGTGGGTTTAGTGATGGTCGCATTCTTCCTTTTTCCGAGTTTCTTCCTATGCCCCTCCAGTTGCGACTGCAGCACCATGTGGAATGGGCACTAGTGCGCTCATGGATGTAAGAGTTGGAGCGTGTTATCACAGTCTTGACATCACATCAGAATGATACCACACCATTGGGTTGCCTTGGCTTTGTTTGCGGTGAGTCTCTGCTCTTCCCTTCTCTCTTCTCGCGCTCCTCTCTACACCAGTTGCCACTGCAGTACCATGTGGATTGACCGAGAGTGTGCCCAGCGGGTGTTTGTGTAGAGTGTGCCAAATTACGGAAACTCGGCAAAAACTACGAAGCAATGAATATCCAATCGATTCGAATCGCTACTGTCCCTACGTTGTATACTCCCTAATACGGTAATGTGATCTACCGTCGGATTCGCCCAGAGGGGAAATCAACCGAGAGAAGCGGGTCTCATTTCGCGCCTTCAAGCTGTTTTCGCTCGGATTTCTCTTGACCGGTGCACATTCTACCGCCTCCAATAAGCAACGATTTCTTCTTAACAAGCGACGTTGATATTTTTGGGGGGACGGACAGACCCACAAACGCTGCAAATCCTGACATCCATCCTGACAAATCGGCACATCAAGCTAGTGCTTTAGAGAAGAGAGAAATGTAATGTCCTCAGATGAATTACCATTGGTCCTCGTCCTGCATCGGCTTCAAGGGCTCTCAATAGGAAATCACCTTGCTGCGGGATTAAACCGACAACATCTTCTAAAGGAAGTGCACCGTGGTACCAATTTTCATTTTCGAGTTCCTGAATAAAGTTAATAGCTTTACTATTAGAGAAGATCTTCACAAGCTACGTTTTTTGCCACTGAAAGGCCGACATGCCCAGCAAAGGTCACCGATGAACAACTGTGATCTACATACTTGAAAGGGTAGAAATCTCTCTGAGTAAACCTCTAGCCGGTATGTTTTGACCCTTCTATCGGAAAATACAGTACCAATTAAGAAATACAGTCGAAAACTCAACAGGGTGGTCTCACAGGTCGTGCTCGCTCTTCAAAACGGTTGCTTACATCAAATAGGGGCATGTGCATGGAACACAACTGTGCTTAGTTTTTCCTAAGCGGCCCTCTGAACCTCTGATCGCCAAAAAAAAGTTTGGGTCATGCTTCCTCACGGTGACAAAGTTTCGCACTTCGATGGGCGCTTGCATTTATGTCGCAAAATGGTACTCGCCGCTAGCGATGAGCGCCACATTAAGGTCAGGACCATCGCAAACTCGTAGGTTTCTGGGAAACACTGGTGTCAAAATGTATGGCGCTTGAGCTATTTCGGCCCCTTTTTGGCATTAAGGGAACGGCTCATGAGAAGTAGACCATAACCCTGTGTCCCATGCCTGAGTCTCTACATCATGCAAAAAATAGTTTTTTGAATGCGCGGCGCCACCTAAATAACCTTACCGGTTAGAGTCATTAGCGTCACATCCCCACGTGTGCGTTCAGCGTTAGAGAAGTAAAGCCCATCTAATAGTTCTTCCACCCTTCCCCTACCCAACTCTACTTTCAGGCATTTTTGGCGTTTTGGCAAAAGTTTATATGTTTAAGCAATATTCTTACAGCCATAATTCTTTCTGCTTCTTCGTCTACGTACTTAGCCATTTCTACTTTCCTTTTTTGATCAGGTCTTTCCTGAAACGCAGTCAGATTTGAAGTCCGCAACCCAGCTGACACTGACTTTCCACTGAAGCTTAATCCGCACCTCCTGTCTACCTGCACACCGTAGTAGCTTCTCGTACTGATTTTTGAATTCTGCTAGCATATTCCCTTTAAGAGTAGACTACGGTTATTTACAAGTGCTGCAAAAAGTAGAAAAAAAGGAGGAGAATGTCTGATTAGTGGGACACATTACTACAACAGCGAAGCGATAGAGGAAGACTTCCCATTAGAGGATTCAGTAATCTTCTAAAACTTAGTGGTATCTATACTTACAACTATACCAGTGCGGTAATTTACCACCAGTGCGCACTAGTAGAAATCCGAGGGTCCAGGAGATGCGCCTACACAAAGAGAGTGTCTTGTTTAGTGAAAGGTCTTATCATTATCATAAACACGTGAAAATGGGATCTCTACACCGTCAAGGGGGTGGTTGTGGTAGGGAGGAGATACTGGTATCGGGGGAGCCTCCTGAGGTTCATGTGGTGTTGGGGGTCGTATTGAGACCCCCTGAAGGGAGCGGGATCGCACAATTTTGAAAAGGTGCAAAAGCAACGGTTGACCCTGCTCCACATTGGTTTTACCATAGCTTCATTAGCGGTTGGCTTACAGTCCAGAGACATTCACCTGCCCTCATTCGAGCTTTTGAAGTGACGCACTAACGCAACAGTGGAAGCTTCTAAAAATGCAATGCCTTAAGCGATCCGAAGTC